ATATCTAGGCTGGTTTAATTCAGCAGTTCCTTCCACAATCCAATGTCTCTCAGCAGCTGTTGTTCATTAGCATTCAAAAAATTAAAGTCAATAAAGCACCATACAGGATCCCGATACCCTGCATATTTCCCATCTTTGTGTGGCTTTTTTAAAATATTACTTACTTTTTTTGTTTGTTTTTTTGTTTTTCGAGACAGGGTTTCTCTGTGGCTTTGGAGGCTGTCCTGGAACTCGCTTGGTAGTCCAGGCTGGTCTCGAATTTACAGAGATCCGCCTGCCTCTGCCTCCCGAGTGCTGGGGTTAAAGGCGTGCGCCACCAACGCCCGGCTTTACTTTCTTTTTTTTAAAGACTTCCTTGTTTTTAAACTATTTTTTCTATGACTGTCTATACCCATTTTCTTCTCTTTCTTTAGCATCAAAGCACATTTTTAAACATACGGTACCTTTTCAGAGGTTTTCTCTGTCTGGACCTGACTTTACTAAGTATCTACAGCGTTCTCAGACCTTGTGAGACAAATTTTAAACTGCCATGTCAGCCACCGAATGACTCAGCTTAGCGCATGGAACTGGTAGCTGGCTCCAGCCTTCAGGCAGCAGCCTGTATGCTGCCTCCAAGCACTAGCCTGCCTGAGAGACTGCAGGACTAGGAAGCTACCTTCAGCTCCTTGTCCAGAACTTTTCTTAGCTTCCTCAGGCCCTGTGTTTGGATACTCGAGCTCCCACATTGGGTGCCATATGTAGCAAGTCTTTCTCTGTACCACCAGCTCCCAAATAATGACACGAAGACTTATTATGAATTATGAGATCTTAGCCTTAGCTTAGGCTTGTCCCACTAGCTCTTATAACTTAAACTAATCCATTTATTTTAATCTACATTCGGTCAAGTGACTACCGCATCTCTCCACACTGCTCATGCTTTCTCCTTGTCTGGCTGGCGACTCCACCTTCCTTCCTTTCTGTCCCCAGAAGTCCCACCCAAACTCTTCCTGTCTAGCTACTGGTCATTCAGCTCCTTATTAAACCAGTCACAGTGACACATCTTCACACGGTGTAAAGGAATATTCCACAACAGCCTTGAGCTGGCCTCTCACAGATTCTTTCCAAAGATGGTCAAGTCCTTCTCTCTGGTGCACTGCCACACCTCACACCAAGAGATGCCTTCTAGGGGAGGGATGTGGCTCACTGGTACAGTACTTGGCTAGCATGTATGAAGGCCTAGGTTCAGTCCCCTACCTCTAAAGCACAGGAGATTTCTCAACATCAGCCTTTGACTTCCATGTGGGCCTAGATAAGCACACCCATATGTGCACACACACACGCGTGCGCGTGCACACGCGTACACACACTCACACACATGCACGCACGCGCGCACACGCACACACACGTACACAGATATATAATAATTGAAGTCTGTTTCTCCTGTCCGTGTGTCTAGACTGGTCTTGTGACTTGCCCAAGAAAAGGCGATGGAAACATTACTGCTCCAGCTCCAGGCTAGCTGTTTGGAAGACAGGCGCCACGGAGGAAATCCAATTGAGCCCGGCCACTGCAATGCAAGGAGGTGGGAGCTGGCCATGTGCTCCAGTCTTGCATCCGTCCTAGTGGTGACACCGTTTTTTCAAGGAGCAGGACACCTGGGACACTTCAGCTCCCCCAAACACCAAACTGAGCCTCATCCAGACAACAGACTTTGTGGGGCCAATGAACCTTATAAGTCCCAAGGATCTCTGTTGTGTTTTGGTTGCTTGCTTGAATTTTTTGTTTGTTTGTTTGTTTGTTTTTGGTTCTTCAAGACAGGGTTTCTCTGTGTAACCCTGGCTGTCCTGTAATTCACTCTGTAGATCAGGCTGGCCTTGAACTAAGAGAAATCCTCCTGCCTCTGCCACACATGCTAGAATTAAAGGTTTGTTTTACTATATTCAGCTCTAGTTTTTAAAAAAAATAGGATTTCAAAAGAAAAAGAAAAAAAATAAAAAAATAAAAAATAGGATTTCCTGGAAAAAAAAAAACAGGATTTCTAGCTTAGGTTGGCCTCAAATTCCCTATGAATCGGACGATAACTTCAACTTCAAATCCTCGTCTACACCTCCTGGGTGCTGGGATCATGGACATATGTACCACACCTGCTTTACTTCTGCTGAGGACCAAATTCAGAGCTTCGTACAAGTGCATGTACTTCATAGAAATACTCTACCAATGTAGCTACTTCCCATGCCTCCCCCTTTTTCAGATAGGTGCTCCCTATGTCACCCAGGCCATCCTCAGATTTTAATTACTCTTTTTTATGTCTCTCAAGTGCTAGGATTACAAACCTGAGCCACCACGTGCAGCACTGCCACATTTATGGATAATAAATATCTCCATGTTCCTGATTGGATGACCGTGCTGAGTGCCGGGGTCGCTGAGATCGGAAAAAGAACATTCAGAACTGAAAAACACAGAAGCTGTGGTGTGAATGAGAATGCTGCCCCCCATATTTGAATGGTTGAACCTCAGTTGGTGAACTATTTATGAAACGTTAGGAGGTGTGGCCTTGTTGGAGTAGGTGTGTCACTGGCTCTGGGGTTTCGAAAACCTGCACAATTCCCAGTTACATAGAATATCTCCAGGGCTAAGAACACTGAATGCTCTTCCAGAGGTCCTGAGTTTAATTCCCAGCACACGCGCGCGTGCACACACACACACACACACACACACACACAGTAGCTCACGTATCTGTAGTGGAATATGATGTCCTCTTCTGGCACAAAGTCGATAGAGGATTCATACACATAAAATAATAAACGAATCTTTAGAATATCTCTGCCTTGTGCTTGTGGATTAAGACGTAAATTCTCAGGCTAAGTGGTGGTGGCACACGCCTTTAATTCCAGCTCTCAGGAGGCAGAGACAAGTGGCTCTCTGTCAGTTCGAGGCCAGCCTGGTCTACAGAGAGAGTTTTAGGACAGCCAAGGCTGCATGTACAGAGAAACCCTGTCTGGTGAGAAAAAAAAAGGCAAGTGCTAGGCCTTATGTTCAGTCCTCATCCTTGAAGGAATCAGCACGGCAGCACATACCTAGGGCTGTGAAGCTCAGTCATGCTTCCTGCGGTCCATTTGGACAAAAGGGGCAGATGTGCACTGGGCCCCAGGCGTGACTAAGCATCTGCAGTTACATGTCAGATAGGAACGAATCCAAGCTATATCAGCATATAGACACTGCAGCGTTCTAATGTTTGATGGACGAGGTGCATTCACAGCTGGGCCAATCAGACCCAGAAGGCGTGTGTGAGATTAAATGTGTGTGTGTGTGTGTGTGTGTGTGTGTGTGTGTGTGTGTGTGTGTGTGTGAAATTAAATGCCAGCAGGCTCAGGTTCCCTAGCATCTGTGTGGATTTGACAACTCACCTTTGACCTGTCCTGATGGCTTCAAGATTAAGGAGGGGGAGAGCTTCGTGCAGTTGGTGGGTAGGTCAGATGGGCATGGGTCACTCTACTACAGACTGTGAGAGGGTCAGATGGGCTTGGGAGACTGTGAGAGACCTACTGGGGGGTGCAACAATAGGAAGCGCACTTCTCTATCCTCTTTTCATGGAGAAAGATGATGGGAGCAAGCATACACTAATCCCTAGACAGCAGCTTTGTCTCGGCTTATCAAACACGGGTATGGACAGAACAGGACTGGAAGACTGGCGGTGAGGGGAGGTGCATGTACATGAACTCAGAGCGGGCACACAGCATGTGGCCGTCTGTCGCACAAGAATATTGGCCAGAGGTCATGTGCAGAGAAGTTGCACAGACAGTCCCCACCTATGGATGCCTGCTGGCCCCTATATTTCACTCCTCCAGCTTTGCAATAGAATTTGTCAAGAATATCAGTGGATACGATGATGGGCTAGGAATGGGCGAGACAACTTAGCCTCCATCTTATGGAGGCTGACCTAGCAACCGCCTATAAAATACCAACCTTCCAGCAACAGGTGGCAGTGTGGCTGAATGGCTCAGAGACAACAGCCAGCCACCTGGTGGCATGGTGGCTACACCAGACCTTTTCTACTTTGGGGTCAGTAATAATTCTGACTTTCAGGAATTGCTATGTTCATCAAAAATTTTTCACAGGGTTTCTGTAGGCAGCACCATCCGAAGGCTTCCAAGAGTGCTCTATCTGAACCAGAGAGATAGCCAGATGGATATCATACCACCAAGCCAGATACCCGAGTTCAATCCCCAGAACCCCCATGATGGAAGAAACCAGGCATACTGTGCACACCTATAATCTCAACACTCAGAAAGCAGAGGCAGGAGGAGCAGAAGTTCAAGGTCATCCTCAGCTACAAGAGGAGTTCAAGGCCAGCCTGGCATATAATAGGTAAACAAATAAATAATGTTTCATCCATTCATTAAAGCCAGGGTCCCATTTCAGGGGGAATATATATGTATATATATTATATAAGATACATATAATAAATGTGACAATGGCCATATGCACACGGACTTACCATTTTTACCATACACCTATCACTCAGAGGTAGCCAGCCTGAGAGAAGAATGGAAGGGAGTGACTTCATCCCCCAAAGCTTTTCAAGGTTTATAAACAGCCTATGGCACTTCATGAGCCCATTGCAGAACAGGAACGGCCTCATATACACAGAGCGCTCAGTGCAGGCCCTGTCATGCAGCAAATGCTCAATAAATGCTTTTAGTGTTAACTGGGTCGGCTTTTGAAAGATCTCCAGGCCCTAAGGGAAGCTGTTGGTCAGATCCACTAAGCCAGATAGGGCGGTGGCTCCCACAGTGGCGTGACATGCTTTGAATACTCTTGGCTGTTCCCAAGGTCCCTGGCTTGAATTACAATCTTCTGCCAGCAGGCAGGGCACAGATGCTGGGAGAGCGGAGACCAGAAAACTCTGCAGAGTGCAGGAAATGGAAACTCTGATGGGGATTGGCTGCCTGGGGCAGGGTGGAGGGGATCCAACATGATTATAAAAAGCCGGCCTTAAGCCAGCCAGAAAGTAGCTTCCTCCTGCAGCACCCATCTATCAGCAGGCTCTGGGCAGCAACACGGCTTTTCTTCTCTCCGCCAAGGTAAAACCAGGAGGCAGGAAGTGTGGGTGCAAAGCTGCCCCCCCAAGCTGCCTGTCGGTGAGCCTGAATACGTATTAGGGAGGCAGTCTCCTTGGGTTCCTTTCATGCCCTGGGCTGTGACTAATATGAAGGTAGGGCTTTTAGCAGATGGAATGGGAAGCTGGGAGAGCCACAAAACCTAGCTCAGAGACGTCATTTCAGCTCTCTATGCCCTGAACCCTATCACTTCACTTCACCTTGGCTCCTTCCTCTGTAAGGTGGAAAAGAGCCATCCAGATGCCTCTGACAGAGTGATTGCTGCCACCCCTGACAACCTGAGCTCAGTCCTTACTCAGAACACACACAGTGGAAAGAGAAGCTACTCCTGCAAATTGGCCTCTAACCTCCATATATGAGCCATGGCATATGCTTCCCTTTATACCCCAAAACAAAAACAAACAAACAAACAAACAAATAATGAATTAATAAATAAATGACTTTTAATGGAGATTAAACCACCTTTCCTAAGGTCTGTGACGTTGAATTCTCCTCTGAGGACAGATGAAGTGATCTGAAATTGTCGCAAGTGTGGCCATGAGCAGCAGTGAATTGTGGGTTTAAACCCTGACTCTTCATCTTGTTGGCTGTGAAACCTTGGGACTATTACTTATTTTTTTGGGGGGACTATTACTTATAATCTCCAAGCCCTACTCTTCTTATCTGTAATGCATGACTGGTAATAATGGCACCATGGGTTTTTATTTATTTTATTACATTTTATTCATTTATTTATTAGGTTTATTTCATTTTTATGTGCATGAATGTTTTACCTGCACACATATGTGTATGCTATGTGTGTGCCTGGTGTCCTAAGAGGTCAGAAAAGGGTGTTGGATCCCCTGGAGCTGGAGTTACAGACAGCTGTGAGCCACCATATTGGTACTAGGAATTGAACCTCGATCCTCTATAAGGGCAGGCAGTGCTCGTAATCGCTGAGCAATCTCTCCAGACCCCATTATTTACTACTACTACTATTCCTGCTGCTGCTATCGTCGTCATCATCATCATCATCATCATCATCATCATCATCATCATCATCATCATCATCATCACCACCACCACCACCATCATCATCATCTAAGGCCTCACTCTGTATCCAGGCTGGCCTGGAAGTCACTCCGTAGCCTTAAACTATCCTGGAACTCTCAGCAGTCTTCCTGCCTCTTACATTTTTGGTTGTGAGCCGAGCCTTTAATGGCTGCACCATCTCTCCAGCCCCCTCCTGCCTCCTAAGTGTGGAGTGACCTGTATTATCCACCCGACCCTGCTAACAGACACGTGTAACTGCGTGCCAGCTACCTGTACGCATGACCACCAGGGGGAGCAGAACCTTAAAGAAGGTAAGGTTCTAGTCTCAGTTTGCCGTAACATCCTGCTTTCTTCTTCGTCTTCTTCTTCCTTTTTTTTTTTCTTTTCACCACCCAACCACCAAATCGGAAGGAGAAATAATAGACCAAAAACCGTCTGAAGGCCCCACGTCTTCCCATCTCATTTTGCGGTCCTAGGGCAAGGTCCGTGAGAGGCGCCACTGTGCGGCGAAAGGAGGTATCGTTCTTGTCCAATCTGCCTCTTCAAGTGGATAACCAGAGGCAGGTAAAGATCCAGAGGGATGGGAGGTCAAAAAAAGGAGAGTTCCAGGCCAGCCAGGGACACATGATGACATCCTTGTGGAAGTAGCGCTTCGGGATCCCTATCAGAGAGATTCCGACTTGTTTCTCCAATTGGGAGGGGGCACGATATTATAAACAAGAGGCAGCACAGAGTTAACCAGGGTCCCAGGAACAAATTCCTGCTCGGTCAGTTCCAACGTTTTTTACAATGTCAGTTCCGTTACTGAATTATCATTTGCCAGAGAAGTCTCATGACCACCAAGTGGGGGCAGCCTCATTAAGCCTAGTGCCTGGGGAAAGTTCCTTGTGTGATGCTCCAAAATCAGAGGATCGCAACCCCCTAGTTCTAGAAGCGTTTGGGAGCACTAGACACAAAGTAGGTGAACCCTGTTTTCCTCCAACACCCGTGCTTTCAGCTTTGTTAGTGCCCTTCCAGGCAGAAAAAGAGGCACAAGGAGCTCAGAACACAGCGCTTTAGGGCTCTGGGGCGCTGGGGTTCTCGGAAGAGATGGGTGAGAGGATGCAGGCTTCAGGTACTTGGGGCTGTAATCACGTTCCTTCCCTGTGCGCCGCCCTGCCTCGGGGCTCGGGGCTCGGGGCTCGGGGCTCGGGGCTCGGGGCTCGGGGCTCGGGGCTCGGGGCTCGGGGCTCGGACTCACAGGGGTCAGAGTTATAGTTTGGTTTTACTGAAGTTCTTGAAACAACTCAGAACCAGTGGCAGCATTCAAACCAAGTCAGTTTCGTTCAGACGCTCTGCTTTTAGCCACTTAGGCTAGTTTCTCGTGGAGGCATTGGCCAAGTCACACCAAGTCAAGAAGGATGACTATTCTCAGCTTCTCTGGGCGTGGCAGCCCAGGACTGCAATGCTAGCCAGCACTTGGAAGCTAAAGCAAGTGGTTTTCTGTGAGTGCAAGTGGTTTTCTGTGAGTTCGAGGCCAGCCTTGTCTACACAGTGTTCAGGGCTACAGGGTGAGACACTGTCTTAAAAAACAAACAAATCAAAACAAACAAACCAAAACCCTGAAAGGTTTGGCTGAGGATTGTATTGGACAAAGCTGCAAATACTCTGGTGCTGTGAGATGGTGACCTCGTCAGGTCACAGGGCTGTGACGAAATGAGATGATGCTGTGTTTTTGAACCTTCCAGCACCACACATAGGGCTCTTCACAAGGCAGCTGTCACTGGCATTCATTACTAATAACATGTATTAGGAAGGCCAGGCATGGCACACGCCTTTAACTCCAGCACTCAGGAGGCAGAGTCAGGAGAATCTCTGTGAATTTGAGACCAGCCTGGTCTACAGAGTGAGTTCCAAGATAGCCAAAGCTACATAGAGAAACCCTGTCTCAAAAAACCAAAATAATAACATGCATTAGGGCTAGGGGTGTAGCTCAGAGGCAGAACACTTGCCTAGAATGCAAGTGCATCTGTATATGATAATGATGACGGGGGTGGGGGGATGGAGGAGGAGGAGGAGGCGATGATGATGGTGGAGGTGGTGGAGGTGGAGGTGGTCCTGGTGCTGCATGGCCTTTTTGCTGCAGACACAAAACCAAGAAGCCACTGCTTTTGCTTGGATCATCTCTCACGCCGTCTTGGTTTGGGAGTGGAAACATGGGGAAAATGAGGTCACCTCACAGAAGCCCCTCTCTGAGCTTTTTTTTTTTTTATTTTGGTTTTTCGAGACAGGGTTTCTCTGTATTGTTTTGGAGGCTCTCCTGGAACTTGCTTTGTAGACCAGGATGGCCTCGAACTCACAGAGATCCGCCTGCCTCTGCCTCCCGAGTGCTGGGATTAAAGGCGTGCGCCACCAACACCAGGCCGCCCCTCTCTGAGCTTTGACCTCTCCCTCTGCGTTTCAGAGGCTTAGATCTGATCATAGTTTTCAGACTTTTGGATTCCCTGGCCCTGTTCTAGGCCCCTGGAGGCCCTGTCTCAGGTCTGGGGCTACACTGTCTCCAAGTACCTCACAAACAAAGGGGGTGGTGACAAGACAGAGGAATAGCCAGAGGCCCCCAAGAACCTTCTCCTCTGTCCTTGCCCCTCCCTCTTCCAGCTGCAGCCCAGAACTTTCTCTGTCATTCTCCCCGTGCCCTAGATGAGAAGGCTGTCCTGTGAGTCACCCGTGCAACGAGAAGCCTAGGAAGACCTGCTCGGGGCCTGCGTCAGCCACACACCCCACCCTCATTTTCTCCTCAAGTCAGCCACAGTTCTGGAACAAAACCAGCTGATTTTGTTTCTGGCCCAGAGCACGAGCTGTTCTCTGCCTGGAGTCTCCTTCCAAAGTTCACCTGCCTGCAGAAAAGTCTTCCTTTCTGTTCTGAGATATGACCTCCCTGGGGTTCCTCCTCAATGCTCCCTGTTAGGCCACAGTGCTCTTGTCCAGGGTCCTGGCTGTGAGGTGTGGGGCCCAGGGACTTTGTACTGACTGACAGGATATTTACTCTCTGCTTAGGCAGAGGTGGATAAACCAGGTCGCCAATCTCTGGAGAACATTTTGGTGACTCCATTGGACGGAGAATACAAACTGCTGCGTGTATCTGGGTGCATACGCGCGTGAGTGCGTTTGTGCGCGTGTGCCTGTGTGTCCGCGCGTGTGCCCAAGCTCATGAGAAGTTACTTTGTGAAGGCTTGGCAAGGCCTCCCTGTCCTCACAGCGCTCCAGTGGAGGAGGAAGAGGTTTGTACATGGAGCCCGCAGACCTCTTGAGTGGTAATTGGAAGAGAAACATTACCCAAGCTGTGCTGGGTGGATTTAATGTTTGTCTCAGTTGGGGAGGAGTGTCCAGGAACATTCCAGTACCCACGTCAAGGCAGGAGAAGGTCAAAAAGACCCGATAAATCAAATGGCAGCCGCAAATCCAGGCATGGTAGTGCATGCCTGTAATCCCAGTCGTGGCAAGGCCGAGACAGGAGGATCCAGAGTTCAAGGCCAGCATGAACTTCATATCAAGACTGCCTCAAAAGGTACAACAAAATAACCAAGAGGGCGGGGGCGTGGGGGGGCGTGGTTTCCAGCCCTAAGGAGGAGGAACCATGCTATGGTTTTCATCTAATCGGGCACACCGTTGAGTGGGTTCAATGCTTGCCAAGTCTGCTGGAAAGACCTGGCCCTCTAGAAGAGGGCCATCCGTGAACAGCAGAGGCTGCTTCCCCAAGAGCTGCAATTTAAAGACGTCAGGAGGCCTAGCACAGCACGGTGAGGAGGGACTTGAAGCCAGGTGCCCTCAGGCCTCCTCTACCCGCTGCCTCTCATGATTCCCGTCTTCTACGCCTCCTGCTCGCTCCTCCCGTCGTGCCAGGGCCAGCTCCGCAGAGTTTGCCACCACCGGATTGTCCCCAGAGAAGCATGCCTGGCAGAAGCATAAGAGGCAGAGGCAGAACATGGAAAGGCACCTACCTGGCACTCGGCAAGCATGCGGTAAATGTCAGCTGCCACCACAGTAAGGGAGCGGAGGAAATAAATGAAACAGCCAAGGAACAAGCTGGGAATCAGGAAACCTAACTGTGGAGCCCGGCTTTGCTCTTAGGCGCTCAGAGTTCTTCCTTTCTCCCAACGATGGGCATCAAATTTGGTTCCCTCCCTCCTGGAGCACCCCCTGTCCTTTGGACATCATCAAAGAAAGATGGGCAACTCTGCTCCCACAGGTCTAATTTTGGGGGAGAAAGATCTCTCTCTCTCTCTCTCTCTCTCTCTCTCTCTCTCTCTCTCTCTCTCTCTCTCTCTCTCTCTCTCTCTCAGAGCTGCTTGTATATTTATTGGCTTTTTGAGACAGTGTTTCTCTGTGTAGCCCTGGCTGTCCTGGCACTTGCTCTGTAGACCAGGCTGGCCTCAAACTCAAGAAATCCAGCTGCCTCTGCCTTCAGAGTGCTGGGATTAAAGGTGTGCACCACCACGGCCTAGCTATAATTAGTACTTTGGGGGGGGGATTTTCGAGACAGGGTTTCTTTGTATTGTTTTGGAGCCTGTCCTGGAACTCGCTCTGTAGACTAGGCTGGTCTCGAACTCACAGAGATCCTCCTGCCTCTGCCTCCCAAGTGCTGGGATTAAAGGCATATGCCACCAACGCCGGCAATTAGTACATTTTAAAAAATATTTATTTATTTTATGTGTGTGGG